CTCTCTCTCTCTCTCTCTCTCTCTCTCTCTCTCTCTCTCTCTCTTTGTGTAAAAGAAATACAAAAGAAAGACCCCTGTTGTAGTTTAAAATTGCGACTGCACCCACCACAGATTATTCTCGGAAAAACGTTCAGCCTTTGAATTTATTTATTTTTTTGTTTTTTTCTATTTCCATGTACACTTCTAGAGTATATATCTATTCAACAAAAAAATGTCCTCCCTCTCTTTTGCATGCTTCATCGAGCCCCACTGTGGTTTACAAAAACGAGGAACAATGTGAACGGTCTCGATGATGGTGTCAATTGTTATGACGCTACTGTGCTGACGACCGTTTACCTTCTCCCATTGCAACTTCTTACAACCTGTTGTGTGTTCCCTTTCGCTATCCACCTCTTTGTACTATTGCACAAAACAACACTTCTGCATCTCCGCGACACCCCCTGTGCAAGTGTTCATGACGAAAAACATGGCTACCGATGCATACCATATGTTGTCATTCCCGCTTCTCACTGCAACATCGCTGTGCACGGCTCTCCCTTGGAACTGTGGTGAAACTCTTGCCGTTTGAACGCCTGCGCCCCTGTGCGTCCCGTCGTGTGTGGCGGCGATAGTCAAGTGTGTTCGACAGTGTATCACTTGGTCATCAGATGGAGGTTGACAGCTGTTCTCCGTCATGAACGTCGTGAGCGCAGCTCGAAAATCCTCTTTGCAGGAAAGCTGGTTAAATATTCTCAACGCCACGTTGCATACCCTCCACCTCCGACAAATGCACACCGTCCATCTGGAACCACCGGAGTTGTAGAGTTGCTGTATCGCGCGCAGCGAGGGCATTAATTCCAGTGGCCATGCAGTCTGTCACGAATGACCAATTTTCTGCCGACCTCTTTCTTCGTTTTCTCACAATCTCCATCTCATCCTGCAAAGCCAATGAGCGTTGGACATGATTCACCATCTGGGAAGCGGCCTTGCGCTTGTTCGATGCCAGATATGGTTGTTTGCAGAACCTCTGATGATGATGCTCCCACACATCAGCCGCGAAGGTGTCGGGGACACCGGATTGCTCTATGCATGTTCTCAGATGCATAAGGTCGTGCAACTTCGGAATTTTCCAATCCGAGGTTTGATATTTTTCCATCTTCGTTTTTATACTCGTTATGAAATCACCTATCAATGCATCACATACATCGAGAGAAGTTGCAATGTGGGTCGACTTACGAAACACGTATATGTACATTTCCATGAGTTTGATTAAACAAGCGCAAATGGATTTGCCTGTCGCACGTGGGATGATATCACAAATAATAAACACGCAAACTGTCATAACAGACCGATTTTGCTTCGCTTCAAAACGTCCTTCCCTTGAAAAGAAATCACAACCTGTGGCCACGGGTAACACGAGTTGCGGTTATGTCCTCACACATCTTACTGATGCTCTACAACCTCGCATCCATCTCGTGCAATATCTCGGTTTGCGCGATATCCGGCAACTTCTTATAAGCTGCTGCCTTGAATGCATCTATCATATGCAAGAAAATGTCGTGTTCAATGGTGTGCATACGGTCCGGTTGCAAAGCGAGATGGTAATCTAGTTGAGGATCGTCACCATTCGGACCCCTATAGAATCCCCAAAGACCGTTCTCTTGAACATGCTTATGCATGTTCAATTCTGACATTCGTGCCTCTGCGGCATGGCGAACATCATTGTCCCCATTGTTGAAGAAGTTCGCAGCAAGTTGCGTCTCTAGCGTCTGCGACCTCCTGCAGTTGCTGAAATCGGCGATGACACACCGAATTTCACAGTTGCAAGGGCACACCTTTCGGGATAGTCCTGTATATAGTTCATGACGAAAGGGTGGACTGTTATCTCGCCGAACCGCTCCGTTGTAACTATCATGCCGTCATGGGATGCCTCCTTTGCGGACCGCACTACTGTTGACAACGCCTTATGCAATATCACCGTTTTCTATTTTCTAAACGCGGTGGAGTGCAGACCCCAGCCCTTGTCACGTGGCCGATGTTGAAGCACAGGAAGATACGCAAGGAGTGTGGCGTCCGATGCGCGATCGACTATTGACATCATCAGAGGATACGCTGACTGCTTTTGACGACCGTCTACATGAGTCTTGTCTGAATACAGAGACAGAGGGATGACATAACGTGTTTTACCATTCGTGTCCACACCCTTGTCCGCTCTGATAACAGTTTGGACATGGTGGCTCAACTGGCCCGTGCGAGAGCCACATATG